TTCCCGTTTTTTCCCTTAACCACCGATTTTTGAACTCCAATAGATATTGAGAATAAATTGAGTCAAAAATTCTGATTCTGTATGAATAAGTGGTGCTATGTGCAGCCGCCATATCTAAATATTAGAAATTACCTTATTGTAAATATTTCCGTAACATACCATCTACTAACTCCCCTAACAGCTAGTTAAAATGAAAAAAAAAGTTCAATTTAATAACTTGTATACAACTTCAAAAACTAGAAACCATATGGGCGCAACCAAGCCAAGAATAAAAAAATGATTAAAGTGCTACTATTAACCCAAAATTAGACTTCACATTTGGTGTTACTAGACTACTTAGGAAGCTCCCGTTTTTCCCCTAACAAATTAAAAATTAGTAAAAAAATTCGGAGAAGAGGGTATATAATGCCTCTGGCTAATTCTAGATATTTGATCGACAAACATATTCAAACATATGTCAGTATACTTGGAACGCCATATAACGACTATTGCTGTCAAGAGATAGAAGAGGAGGACTATTAAATATCTTCTATGCAATTGTGTCGAAGGTTTCTTGACGTTGTCTTGGAGGCACATATAAAGCATGTCCTACTGATGAAGTTCATCAAAAGTACAGGGAAGGTCAGAGAAGAGCCAATAGAGTGAGGGGACTTTGGTCCCGGTGGTATCACAATGGGCCTCCTAAAGGCCTAAGTGTGTCGTAATACAGCCACTCTACCTACCCACCTACCTATATCCCCATGGTATTATATTAGGTATATGGGACTAACCAAGGTGTATACCGATTTCATTATTTTTTATGCAAAGCCACATTGTGGTCAAGAAAACGTCTCTCTCACTTTCAGCAGTAAACGATCGATAAACAGTATATCCATTATAATATGTTCACTTAATATTGTTANAGAGTAACTTAATGATCGAAATATATAGGGAAAAGTTTGTCTGGTATCTGATGAAATATGATACAATATTTGACCTAAAAGTGGGTCGTGTCCATTGTCCAATTATTAGGCCGCTTATGATATATACATTCTAAACAGATAGATATGGCCGGATGGACAGACATACATCTGAAAATAAATTACTCATTATGTGAGTATATGTCTTGATTAGTTTTACGAACAACCGTCAATTGAGCTGACCTCTGAGCAACTTTTTTTGGGACTAAAAAATAAAAATATTTTTGTTTTTCGGCTTAAATTGAAAAACGATAGGATTGGATAATCCCAAATTAAATAAATAAGAATACATTTAGCTAATAATAGTTCTTTCTCGTAAAACATTCTGGCTAAATGAGCCTAAGCATCCCCTCTTAATGCTAAGCACCACATCAACACCCCACTCAGTCCGTACAGCACTTGCACATTCTAGTAAAATATACCACACAAGATAACACGACACACTCCACATTGACAACCATTAAGAGGGATTGGGTCACCGATCACCAGTTCAAGGCCAATCAAACAGTGGTCGACAAAAACACATATTTCTTCATTCGAACGATTCATCATAATAATAATTTCATATCAAATAAATTGTATACACTTAAGTACACATACACTTGTGCGGGTTTGAGTATGTAGTATACTGAAATATAAGTACAGTAGTACCTAGGTACATATTATAGTTCAAATAATATGGTGAGCGAACCCATATAAATTACTTTAGTTTCAAATTTTTCATGGCCCTTCGAGCCTTACCGGTTTGTAAGAAAAAAAAATTTTAATCAGCAAGTCAGGAAGGGCTAAGTTCGGGTGTAACTGAACATTTTATACTCTTGCAACATGGAACGATCAAAGCCGGCTAAATACCTTCAGGTTCAAAACTTTAAGTTCGGGTGTAACCGATCATTTCATACTCTTGTAACTTGCCAGGATTAAAGCCGGGGAAATGCCTTCAGATGTATGTAAGGAGTAAAAACTCTAGATATTTGAAAATTCTGATATCACTTATGTTTATGGAGTTTTATCCATTTTAGGCACAAAGATGCACCGTTATGAGAAAAATACGTTCTTTCAATTTTATTAAGATAACTCACATAATCTACAATGATTGGTTCTTGATTTGTATACTGGAACGTGAAAGAAATAGATAGAATTTAAAATTGTTTCGGCGTGGTTTTTGTTTGATTTCGCCCATTTTCGCACTGATGTAAGAATGGCACGATAATATTACTTATTGAATTTCCTGAAATCGGTCGAGTAGGTCCAGAGATATGGGTTTTCACCTGAATATGGGCGCCACGTCCATCATCCAAATTTAACAGCCGCTCCTATAAAGTACTTTCGTACCATCTCGTTTGTAAAATTTAATGTCTCTGGCGCATTGAGTTACTGATTTATTGCGTGTTAGTAGTTTCTAACAAAGTCGTTATATGGGGAGAAGACGGGGTTATAATCCGATTTCATTCATTTTCACACTATCGGTAGGGGTTCTTATAGGATTTTTCCTTAGCGAATTTGGTTATTGTAACTTATGTGGTTTAGGAGAAGTTAAACGTATTAGAGGGCGCGGCCACGCCCATTCTTATTTAATTTTTATACCACAGGTACCCCTTGCTCCTGCAATCTCCTGTATCAAATTACAGGTTTACATCTTAATGAAGTGCTTAATTATGGCATTTTATAAGTTTTCGATTAATGTGGTTTTGTGTACGTGGCATACGTCCGATTACGCCCATCTACGAACTCCTTCTCGCTTTTTTGACAAAGAACACGTGTACCAAGTTTTATAAAGATATCTCAAATTATCGCCTGCACAGGCGGATATTTAAGATAAGGATCAAGCTTAGACCGTGGTCATTTCTTTCGTATTCGTGCCTTCTAATCTTTAAATAATTAAATTTATTAGTTCTAAACATATCCGACACACTGGGAATGAGCGTGGTTATCATACGATTTCTCCGCTTAACGGTTTTCTATTATTTTTTTATTATCAGATAGAAAATTTCACATCTCTCTTCCACCTTCTTGAAAAAATATCCGGTTTCATACATTTTGTAGAAAATTGAATGCTCTACAAAATTTCTCGTAAAAATAACAGTTGCAAAGATATTAGGGATTGAAGTTTGATTTTTTTAAGGCAAATTTGTTTTTTCTTTTGAATTTTATAACTCAAAACGACAATTAAACGTAATTTTAAATTCTATATAAAAAATTAGATATCTTAATGAAAATTAAAACATGTGTTCCTTGGCTAAAAAGAGTAGATGGGCGTAATCGGACCACTGCCACGCCAACAAACGCCAATAATCAAAAACCTATAAATTGCCATAACTAAGCTACAAAATCGTCATTTGGTACAATAAATCGCAAAATGAGAAGCACTTGTGGTTTGAAGATTTTTAAAAAGTAGGCGTGGCCTTGCACCTTAATAGGTTTATTGTATATAGCTCCCAATCGGTTCAAGCTATATTACCCAAATTTGAACAGGACAACCGCATGAAAATAAGTGAAATCGGATGATAACCACGCCCACTCTCCATACAATGGGTTTGTTAAAATCTACTAAAACTACGATAAATCATTAACGAAACGCGCTAGAGACTTTCGAGGTGACACAATAAAGGAGGTGTCAAAATTGGAAATCGGCGTGGCACCGAACATATTCAGGGGAAATCGCATATCTCCGAACCTACTACACCAATTTCAACCAAATTATGTTCTCACGATTAATTTGGCATGCCCATGTAATGGTGCGAAAATCGGCGAAATCGGAAATTTCAAAGTGACCACGTTTACTTGCCATATAACACAACCAGAAATTCCATCTGATTTTTTCACTTTCCAGCATACAGATCAAGCACTAAATAATATATCAAGATAAAAATTTGCTCGACCATTTCCTTTAAGGCATGCTATTCAAGCCCCCAGAGACTGGAAATGTAGACCCCAGAGGCTATGGCTGACTTTTTGCCGAAAATATTGGTCAATCTGTGAGATATATAATTTGAATTCAGGGAAAATGTATTTTTGATAACAATATATCCTTGTGTCAAAAATGAGTTGAATCAAATCCACAAATTATACATGAACAACCATTACATTGACCTAAATTAACAGTTTGGTGTGGTTTTTGGTTTGGTGGAATCATAGGTCCGTACTTTTTTCGAAATGAAGCTGGTTATATCCTTACTGTCAATGAAGAATGATAGATCGATGATAACCAACTTTTTAAGGTCGCTGTTGGTAGAAGTTGATCTTGACAACATTTGGTTCCTATAAGACGGGACCACGTGCCACACAGCACGTGCAACAACGAAATTATTGCGAGAAAAGTTTGGAGAATCGATAATTTCAAGAAAGTGCGACGTTGAATGGCCTCCAAGAAGTTGTGATTTATCACCATTTAACTACTTTTTCATTGACGTGAAAGGTTTTAATACGGCAACAACGAAATTGTGTACATCAGCGGTTTGTTATGTCGCAACCGTCTTCAAGATGTTCAAGAAGCTGGCTTCAAGACGACATTTGCCGACCAAGAAAATATCGCTGTGGTATCGGGCCGTCGTCTTTGTGTGCTGTCTAAATAACTGTGCCCGTAAAAACTTGTATGTTAATATTTGAAAGATGCTGCTTGTCGCTTGTCGTCGTTAAATATAATTAAAATGAGTGAAAAGGAAGCTACAGGGGGCGCAGTGGAGTCGAGGTTATGTGAAGGTACGTTACTGTTGAATCGGGGATTGTTTGTTACGCGTTTGAATTTAAAATTTCGCGAAAGACATATTTTCATGCTCCACAATGATAACAATAATTTGAAACCAATTTCATAGGGAGAGATGAGGTAGCGATCCCAATACTTCCACTGGTTTCAGAGGATCAAGAGGGAAACAGCTCAATATTATCGTGATTACAGAGCACGAAAACGAGCAGAGATGAAAAAAGAGTTATCAAATATGGAAACTAGTAACCTGTCTACAAGTTCTGAGCCTTCTACACATGTTGATTCCTGTAGAAGTAACGTTTCAATAGCAAAGCCCTTTGCGAAATGAGAGGATCAAATTTTAAGAAATCCAATTTGGGCATTAGTATTCGACTTTATAAACTCGAAAAAACACATTTCGATAATATTATATAACTTTCAAAGTTCAGAAACGTTTACGAGCGATGAAGAACCTTCTGTTTAGTACCAAATTTTTAGTTTGTTGTGGGATTTCAACGTAATAAAATTCGAAAATCAGGTGTTGCCATCTATCGTAATGAAAAGGACAGATATTACGTTGTTATTCGTCATCTACGAATTCAAGCTCCTTACTCAAGTGAGACTGATGTCACGGTATCAACATCCGCAAGAATTGGGGATTTATGTGCAGTAGATAACAATAGTAAGAAATGAATTCTAATAGCTCTTTATTTATCTCCAAATGCTTCAATGAGGGATATCAAAATATTCATCGGAAAATCTTTATTGAAATTATCGAATTTAAGTTCATAAGCTCTGGACGATGTTATTGGAGAACGCGTAGAGTATTGAGAACAGCCGGTAATTTTTCCGAGTGATTTTGATGGAAATTTTTCAGTGCCAGAAGCTGCGCCATTACTCCAATTCATCAAAGATAAATCTTCTTTAGAAATAGAAGAATAGTAGGAATAATCCAACGACATAAGGGGGGACCACTATTGACGTAGTTTTCGCCAGAACAATTAATAAAATAGAAATTAAACATTTCATATCTTATTTTAGCTATCATGATCCACTTACTTGTATATATATTATTAATATGAATACAGCGCCCGCTGAAAATGAGAATTAAATTGAAACAATTGTTGTCGAAAACAATATAAAAATTGTATTTCCCAAAAATGTTGCGTTATAATAACATTAATTTCAACACTTTCATGTCTAAAATTTTCCATCATGAAGTTTCACTTCTTACGTGCGAAGGACTGCATGCAACCTCTTTTTTTGTTTCCCGTTGATCAGCATTGATATTTGACAATGAATATCTCGAAAACGCTTAAATTAATCAAAAAATAATATAAATCAAAAGATTGCCAAATTCAAAATTAAAAAAATTGCTTTAAAATGTAAAATTTCAACCGTTAAAATCTTTTAGATGTTTAGGTTTATGAAAAACCCGTAAGATACCATTTTATAAAGCAATCAATTTCCTAAAAAACATATTTAAGGAGATATTTTTCGAAGCATTTGGAAGGGAAATATGAATTTTTATAATTTTACAACATGTTACTACAGAGTATGGTAGTTTTGTTCAACTACCGGTTGTTTGTATGACCTAAAAATATTCGGGTTAGCTATAGGGTTATGTATATAAAAATGAACAGGATGTAGGTCCGTCGGTCTCTGCAAACGATAACTTGAGTAAAAATTGAGATATCTTAATAAGTTGCAAAGATATTAGGATTGAAGTTTGATTTTTTAAGGCAAATTTGTTTTTCTTTGAATTTTATAACTCAAAACGACAATTAAACGTAATTTTAAATTCTATATAAAAATTAGATATCTTAATGAAAATTAACATGTGTTCCTGGCTAAAAGAGTAGATGGGCGTAATCGGACCACTGCCACGCCAACAAACGCCAATAATCAAAAACCTATAAATTGCCATAACTAAGCTACAAAATCGTCATTTGGTACAATAAATCGCAAATGAGAAGCACTTGTGGTTTGAAGATTTTTAAAAGTAGGCGTGGCCTTTCACCTTAATGGTTTATTGTATATAGCTCCCAATCTGTTCAAGCTATATTACCAAATTTGAACAGGACAACCGCATGAAATAAGTGAAATCGGATGATAACCACGCCCACTCTCCATACAATGGGTTTGTTAAAGTCTACTAAAACTACGATAAATCATTAACGAAACGCGCTAGAGACTTTCGAGTGACACAAGAAAGGAGGTGTCAAAATTGGAAATCGGCGTGACCGAAAATATTCAGGGAAATCGCATATCTCCGAACCTACTACCAATTTCAACCAAATTATGTTTTCACGATTAATGGCATGCCCATGTAATGGTGCGAAAATCGGCGAAATCGGAAATTTCAAAGTGACCACGTTTACTTGCCATATAACACAACCAGAAATTCCATCTGATTTTTCACTTTCCAGCATACAGATCAAGCACTAAATAATATATCAAGATAAAAATTTGCTCGACCATTTCCTTTAAGGCATGCTATTCAAGCCCCAAGACTGGAAATGTAGACCCCAGAGGCTATGGCTGACTTTTTTCCGAAATATATGGTCAATCTGTGAGATATATAATTTGAATTCAGGGAAATGTATTTTTGATAACAATATATCCTTGTGTCAAAAATGAGTTGAATCAAATCCACAATTATACATGAACAACCATTACATTGACCTAAATTAACAGTTTGGGTGTTTTGGTTTGGTGGAATCATAGGTCCGTACTTTTTCGAAATGAAGCTGGTTATATCCTTACTGTCAATGAAGAATGATAGATCGATGATAACCAACTTTTAAGGTCGCTGTTGTAGAAGTTGATTTTGACAACATTTTGTTCCTATAAGACGGGACCACGTGCCACACAGCACGTGCAACAACGAAATTATTGCGAGAAAAGTTTGGAGAATCGATAATTTCAAGAAAGTGCGACGTTGAATGGCCTCCAAGAGTTGTGATTTATCACCATTTAACTACTTTTCATTGACGTGAAAGGTTTTAATACGGCAACAACGAAATTGTGTACATCAGCGGTTTGTTATGTTCGCAACCGTCTTCAAGATGTTCAAGAAGCGGCTTCAAGACGACATTTGCCGACCAAGAAAATATCGCTGTGGTATCGGGCCGTCGTCTTTGTGTGCTGTCTAAATAACTGTGCCCGTAAAACTTGTATGTTAATATTTGAAAGATGCTGCTTGTCGCTTGTCGTCGTTTAATATAATTAAATGAGTGAAAAGGAAGCTACAGGGGGCGCAGTGGAGTCGAGGTTATGTGAAGGTACGTTACTGTTGAATCGGGGATTGTTTGTTACGCGTTTGAATTTAAATTTCGCGAAAGACATATTTTCATGCTCCACAATGATAACAATAATTTGAAACCAATTTCATAGGGAGATAGGTAGCGATCCCAATACTTCCACTGGTTTCAGAGGATCAAGAGGGAAACAGCTCAATATTATCGTGATTACAGAGCACGAAAACGAGCAGAGATGAAAAAAGAGTTATCAAATATGGAAACTAGTAACCTGTCTACAAGTTCTGAGCCTTCTACACATGTTGATTCCTGTAGAAGTAACGTTTCAATAGCAAAGCCCTTTGCGAAATGAGAGGATCAAATTTTAAGAAATCCAATTTGGGCATTAGTATTCGACTTTATAAACTCGAAAAAACACATTTCGATAATATTATATAACTTTCAAAGTTTTCGTCCACACGCCAATGATTTTACCGATCTAGTCTTCCAAAATACGAATATTTTCATGTTATCAGAAACGTTTACGAGCGATGAAGAACCTTCTGTTTAGTACCAAATTTTTAGTTTGTTGTGGGATTTCAACGTAATAAAATTCGAAAATCAGGTGTTGCCATCTATCGTAATGAAAAGGACAGATATTACGTTGTTATTCGTCATCTACGAATTCAAGCTCCTTACTCAAGTGAGACTGATGTCACGGTATCAACATCCGCAAGAATTGGGGATTTATGTGCAGTAGATAACAATAGTAAGAAATGAATTCTAATAGCTCTTTATTTATCTCCAAATGCTTCAATGAGGGATATCAAAATATTCATCGGAAAATCTTTATTGAAATTATCGAATTTAAGTTCATAAGCTCTGGACGATGTTATTGGAGAACGCGTAGAGTATTGAGAACAGCCGGTAATTTTCCGAGTGATTTTGATGGAAATTTTTCAGTGCCAGAAGCTGCGCCATTATCCAATTCATCAAAGATAAATCTTCTTTAGAAATAGAAGAATAGTAGGAATAATCCAACGACATAAGGGGGACCACTATTGACGTAGTTTTCGCCAGAAAATTAATAAAATAGAAATTAAACATTTCATATCTTATTTTAGCTATCATGATCCACTTACTTGTATATATATTATTAATATGAATACAGCGCCCGCTGAAAGTGAGAATTAAATTGAAAAAATTGTTGTCGAAAATAATATAAAATTGTATTTCCCAAAAATGTTGCGTTATAATAACATTAATTTCAACACTTTCATGTCTAAATTTTCCATCATGAAGTTTCACTTCTTACGTGCGAAGGACTGCATGCAACCTCTTTTGTTTCCCGTTGTCAGCATTGATATTTGACAATGAATATCTCGAAAACGCTTAAATTAATCAAAAAATAATTAAATCAAAGATTGCCAAATTCAAATTAAAAAATTGCTTAAAATGTAAAATTTCAACCGTTAAAATCTTTTAGATGTTTAGGTTTATGAAAACCCGTAAGATACCATTTTATAAAGCAATCAATTTCCTAAAAACATATTTAAGGAGATATTTTCGAAGCATTTGGAAGGAAATATGAATTTTTATAATTTTACAACATTACTACAGAGTATGGTAGTTTTGTTCAACTACCGGTGTTTTGTATGACCAAAATATTCGGTTAGCTATAGGGTTATGTATATAAAATGAACAGGATGTAGGTCCGTCGGTCTCTGCAAACGATAACTTGAGTAAAATTGAGATATCTTAATG